CATTTGGTTGGATTTTCGTTCAACGGACAACAATCAAGGGGCAAGTGTACCTGAAACTCGATGCGAGTCTACATATTCTATGAAAATTGTATGTACAGAGCCTTCAGAAATATTACTCTGTTCGACAAGCTCGGAACGACCATTTTCGAGCACTTTTGCCCGCACTTCTTCCACGTGACAAATGTCAGTTGCCGTTAAGGGTCGATTCCCATGCTCCTCATCTTTGACGAACTCCTGGCCAGTTTTGAATCGTTTGACCCATTCAAAACAGTAGAAACATCTCATACAATGATCATAGTAAACTTTACTTAGCATATACCAAAAGTTTCGGTACAAGGTATACCGAGTTTAAAACAAAATTTAATGTTGAATCTTTGCTCTATCAGTGATCGCATGATGAAAATCGCAAAACGCATCTGACTTAGTCGTATTCAAGATGACACAGAATAAACACTGATCAAAATAAACAAAATCTGTGAACGTAGCGTTCTTAAGTATATTTTCAGCAATCAGGAGAGCTCAAGAAAACCTAATTTGGACGCATTGTGGGTTAGTTGTGACCAAAATCCGGTTTCTAATCTAACAGACCTCGTATTTATATAACTTGTTGGTATAAGGTACGAAAAAAGAAAACCGCAAAATATATCGGATGGTCACCCGTTTCCCTTGAAATGGCCAAAATTTGGTATTTCCAATGAAATACTTCGATTCTTCCCTTTTCCCGTCGCTGTTTCGAGCACTTCCGATTACAATTTCGAAATGTCCTTTTGCGTGCAGATGCTTCTATCCATAAGTGTTACTAAACCGTATAAAAGTGAAAATCGAAAAAAAACCCGAGTTGGTATGTTTTCGAACTCACTAATTCATTTATTCATTACGTTGAGTCCTGTGGACTAACCAAGGTTCCCATTTGGAAGTATTTATGCTAAAAAGAACTATGTTCCACGTAAAGCCCATGCTCATAGTTCCGTTTAGCATAAATACGTCCATTTTGTCCTATTCTTAGCTTTTATATGCAGTGAAAATACTTTTAAATGCAGATTTGAGGACTTTTTCGATGTGAATGGATTTTTATTTTAACAATTTTAAGTCATCAAGGGTGTCTTAAAACTTAGATTTTGGAGGATTTTAGCCCCCTAACCCCCTCCGCCCGTCTTCGGACCCCCCAAAATCCGCTTTTTGGGGCTATTTTTGACTATGTTAACATCTTTTTCTCATAACTTTTGTAATTTTTGATAGAATTGAACCGAAATTTGTCAGAATCTACATCAATTATGAGCTCAGTTTTTGTTTTAAAAAAATCATTATCATCAAATAAGATTTTAGCTTCTAAAAAAATTCGTAAAATTTTAAAAAAAATCATTTTTTTCCTTTTTTCGCAACAGGTGACGTATAGAAACGAGGACACACATGAAAATTGTCTCTCTTCTTAAATTATACTTTCAACAAGATACAAAAACAAGCAGTGAACTCCAACACAATGTGTTGATAAGGCGCGTCATTAACTCGCACATATCAACCCCTTTAGTTTTCATTTACAGAGATTTCAAAATAGGCAAACAGCATAAAAAGAGAATTCACGATCCAACACTGCGAGGTCAAAGACGCACCTTGACGAGACCGTGTATTGTGAAAGTAGAAAGCTATTCGATCGAATTTAAGTTTTTTGATCTGCCTCAAGCAAAATCTTATCAGATTCTTGAAGAAAAGTGCTACGGAATAATTTAAGCGAAGAAAGGAAAAATTCTGTCGAACTCCTAGAAGATAAAGTCGATTTAAAGGTATTTTGGGGCTAAAATACCCAAATCACCGGTAGTAAAAATCCCGTTATATTATTGAAAAGAAATTGACTCGATATAAATGCAATTGCATTAAATACGTCTTGATTTTGTTATTTTAAACGTCTTTCCATGCAAAGAAGTTCAACCATGTCGTTGCTTTATTCATTCATGAATTGAAAGTAAGCAATCTACATCCCGAAAATCTACTGATTTGCCGTAAAAAATTGCAGAAACTTGATATACCAGGTCGATGCACCCACTCGTTGAATTTACCAACCAATTTTGTGAGTGCAAATGTGTAAGAATCAATATGCTATAGTCATTTTGGGTGCATTTATTTTTCATGAAACAATAATAATTTCAATCCCGAAAAACCATCAATTTTCCGTATAAAATCGAAAAAATCAAAATATGTCAACTCCCCGACGTGAAAATTAGATTCTACGTATGTAAAATGTAAATACTTATGTATCGATATGCTGAACAGAACTATGTGTGGACAGTCAGAAGCCCGCGGCAACATTAATTCAACAGAAAAACTGTAAAAATTAGATAGGATTTTAGCCGCTTTGCCCGCCTCTCCTCGCTACTTACAACAAACCGTTCTTATACTCATCTCAAAATTTTTCTCAGAGCTTTGGGTTATTATCAGCTTCCATTTAAACTCCGGTTCGATGGCCGAATCGGCTGCCAAAAAAGCAAGCCACTGTTGAGGGGTTCTATGAGAAATTCGTGATATTATCGGCTCTCAGGAAATCACCCCATGGCTAAAATTGGTGGTATAAATGTTTAAGTGCTTAAAATAATCGTATTCAAGAAACTAAGGAATTAAACTATGGAGTCAATTTCTTTTTAATAATATAACGAATTTACTACCGGTGATTTAGCTATTATAGCCCCAGAATACTTTTAAAGCGCCTTTGCGTTCCAGAATCTCGACGGAATTTTTTTTTTTTTTTTTTTTGCTTAAACGATTCAAGAAACATTGTAGTTAAAAATATAAAGATTTTTCGATTTGGACGTATGAAAAATGTTTAACTCGTTCAGGCACACCGTGTATTGTATGGAGTACTGCTGTTATTCGACCGTTGTCTTCAGGTCAAAATTCTTACAAAGAAGCCCCTTGCAAGAGGCAAATTTTTTGTAATTTCTCCCAGTTTTTTCAGCGTTAGGTATATAAATGAATTGTTTGTCAAATTTTGAGGTCAATTATATTTAATTGTAATTTATACTTTCTTTTTTTCCCCTTCATTTTATTTTTCGTATCGAGGAGTCGAGGTTTTGTTGATTTCTTCGGATTTCGATTACTGTAACTTCTCTTCTATTCGGCCGATTTTTATGAATGAGGTCTCTTTTTATTTGTGTTTTAACGGAGAGTAAGGAAAAAATTGCTAAATACATGCGAAACAATTTTTTTTGAAAATTGGATGAATCCTAGCGTGACGGTGAAATGGTTAATGAAGCGTGAGTAATTGGGGTACGGGTATCGGCCGCGTTGGGACCCAAGGCCCATTGTTCTTCGTGACGCCGACGCAGTGATCAGGAGCGTGGGGACGAGAGGGCTTAGTGGACTCCTGTATGAGCCACGTTTAGCAAATGGTCTAATGAGTCTCGAGGCTCATCACAGATTGCACTTACCACTATCCTGGTGGCCCCGGCTATCAGAGCAAGGAGTACCAACTTTTGAAAAGGATAACAGTGTTGTGGAGATATGTCAAAGCAACGTTGTGAACAAAACGGAGTGAGTGAAATTCTCATTCAAGGAGTGCCGAACTGGTCAGCCATCCTCGAATCAGTTCGCTTGCTTCCGCTTATATATGCATATTTTAAATCAACGCGCCCCATTCTAAGGTTTTTTTAAAAAAAACCAAGAAACGTAGACTCTTGGTATTCATTACACATAAACTAGCGAGCCCCAGAATGAGAAACAAATTTTAATCATTATTATTGACGGATTAGTAAACTTTTTACACGCTTTGGAAAATCTCAGAAGTTCGCGGTAGTCACTTTTCGGTAAGGAACTAGGGGACTCGGTTATTGTATCGAGGGGGGGGTCGAAACGATCGCAAAGGCGGTATACTACGTATACGCGCCAAAAAATTCGTATTGATCGGAGTGGTGCGCCATACTTAAAGACGCAATATCCTAACCTCAAAACGGCCAAAATGCCACCATAGCCTCCTTTGATGACTAGGTGTGGAGAAATTTAGAGAGAAAAATCCGGTTTTATCGTCTGACCTCTTAAGTGAACTCGAGGTCTTTGACGACGCGAACTGAGAACATGTTCACATTGTTCAGGGCAGATAAGGATTTCCGGTCACAAATCTCAAGCACCTAGAGAAGGGACTGTGCTCGTAATGAAAGAGTTTGAGACAAAGAAGGCTAAATAAACATTGTGCACAACGTCATGTCCAAGCAGTGAGTGTGGTATGGGCAAGTGCAAAGAATGTCGGGAAAGAGGTTGCCAAATGAAGTTTTGGATTGGGTCCTCCCTGGAGAAAGACGATGGGGAAGTCCAATGAAGGGACGCAGGCGTGCGGTTGACGAAGAGATTCTAGAATATCGGTTTTTTTATGACCTTAGGAAGATAGGCACACATGGCGTTTAGGTGTCACGGTGCGACAGTGCGCTAAGGGGCGATTTTTTCTTCCTCTACCTTCCGACTAGGGGCAGAGCCCTGTTTGTCTAGCCTGTATCCTTAAGCCTTGTCTACGCGGGACGTTTTCCCGCAATTTGCCGCAGGGAGATTCGCACTTGCGAATTTGCGACACACATTTACTAACTTAATATTATTCACAGTGCCTAGTGCGGTCCTTGTAAAGCACTAAGACCAACTGAAAGGAGAAGAAGAAGCAAAAAAAAATGTGTACCTAATATTTTGTTCTTCACTCGATTGTTCGTGTTTGTTCAGTTTAAATGATTGTCTCCAATAAAGTTTTACCTAAATACCGTTTAAGTATTTTCTCCGCCTGCGCAAACTTATTCACAGGAATGTGAGCGTTCCGTACCATGGAGACGGTAAAGCTGCGAAAAATCGTCGATGTTTCTTTCCCGCAATTTGACTTTGCAACAAATCTCACGGAAACTCCCAGACACAGCAAAGCCTAAGGATGTTAATAATTTCCTGGGTACGAAAAGCAGCTCCGTACCCATCTCTTAGGCGGTCTTTAGTCCTACCAAAATTGAGCGCGAGTTAAGTATACTTAAACAGATAGTAACCTGATGATGAGGTTCGGACTCAACGGAGGCGATGTCCAGTTCCTCATCCGGGTCCTCGCGCGTGCGGTACTGGGATAGCTTCTCACCGGAGTAGTACTGTTTAGCGCGCATAGCCCCTGTGGTGGAGGAGATCTCAGCCGCACGTATGTACTGCACCATCGTCACGTATAGGTACAGGATCACGATCAGCACCGTCGTGTTCCACCATACCGACGGCCGCATTGTCATTCTCTGCTGCGCCTCTGGAAAATGAGAAAAAACGTTGTCAGCATCATAGCGAAATTCTTGTCTGTTGGAATATTGTTTCAATTAAGGGAATATGCAATTTTGAGAACTGTAATTTGAAGAGAAGAGATGTTGAATATAGGTAAATATTTTCTAATTCCATGGTACTTAATGTTAAAAATGGATTCCTAAATACATTATTAGCGAGGTACATAGATATCCTAAGGGGGGGCAGATACACCTGCGAGCTAGATGCGAGTCTTGAGCGGCGAGTAGGCCTTCGGCTGTGCTCGGCAATCTTCGTAGCCAATCAGGTCGCAACTCGCCACTCGTAACTCGCTCAAAGTAGGATCGGATGCTACTTTTCGGATCAAGACGCGCGTGTAGTGCGCAGGTGTATCTTGCCCTTTACATCAAGTCATCCCGGATACTGGTTAAAGGTGTATGAAGTAGGGGCAACTCCTGAAGAATTTGGCCCGCTTAAATGGAACGGGCATACGATGAGTTGAGGGCTGATTCCTTGAAAGTTTTCTGGGGGAAGCTCCCCAGAGAGCAATCCGAACAACACTTAAAACCGACACGCTCCCACCTGATTCCAATGATCTCTGCGCTCACTTCCTACAGCAGGTGCGCAACGCTCATTGTCAGTACCTACAGGACGAACAATCTTCTTCGGGTGGGGCCAGGGTCTCCAACATTCTGGGTCATTTCTCATCCAACATAGGCAGTGCCTTTACACACTCTGTAAATTGCACCATAAGTTCGGCCATTGCCATGTTGCAAAGAGTAGAAGTGACCCCGTAGTCGCAGCCTCCGCCCAACGAACTTTAAAACTCCACCTCCAAATTTGAGTTTCCCCGCAACCAGAAGTCGGCCCAAATTCTCCATGAACAACCCACCCCGATGTTCTGTAGATCTAGATCTGTTCTATCGGCTGTCGGTAAGCTACCGAAACAGTTCCGTCAAGAAAAAGTTACGATAAGAGCGCTCTTACCGATAACGATCAGAGTTTTCGGAGCTGACGAAAATAAGCTGTTGCCATTTGTATGTACATCTATATTTTACGCGCCGCCGCGCCTGACAATCTGATAAACCGATACACGGGGCAACAATGCATTGAGTGCGAGCTCTCAAAAATCCGATAAGGCCGGCTGTTAACGATATCATCGCCACTGTCGGTACCTACTGCCGCCAGTTTCGGTATAAGAGGCGATATCGATAGTGTTCCGGCAAGAATTCGTTTGAACACCCCTAGTTAGAACACGCTTGCCAGAAGCGTGACCGAGGATGATGGATCTGACCCCTGTCAAGCAAAATTTAACCTGAGTGACGGCCAGAACCTTTCTACCGCAGCACAACACCTCCTAACTTCGCATCAGAGAAGTCACAAAAATTAAGGTCTTCCATCTAAACATCCAAAGAGGGTTAATCATCCATCATCCATCATCCATCATCCATCATCCATCATCCAAAATTACAGAAAATTACAGAATAACTTAATTTAGCGTCAATTTTAGAAAATGTTGTTCAAAGCTTTTGACTGCACTTTCTACTAAACCTGCGAAATGAGGTGAACTTGACGGAATGCCCTCCCAATTTTGTCAGATTTACATATAGATGCAAGACTCCTTTTTGCACCTGTGAAAGCGGGTATGAGTTATCAGAGTACATTTGTTTTGGGAATCCGCGCCGACCAATGAACCTTTCAAACCCTAACAAAAATGAATGAACTGTTAAAGTCATCGTGATTTCTAAATGAACAGCCTTCGTAGCGAAACAGACTAAAATTAATGCGAAGAAAGGTTTGATCGATTTTCTGTTTACCTATGTTAAGTTTAACTTTAAAGAATCCACAATGATCCACATTGCAGAGGGTGAATGGTCAAGAAGGTGTACCTAACCCTCCCGGCTGATTGTTGGCCCGTTAATTGGGCAAATTTTTGGAGTTTTGCCCTTTCTACAGATGACACAAGCTTAAGTAGTTTGTCGTGCTAACTTTCGACTAGAAATTGACCAAAAATTGCGTCGAATTAATAGTTGAGGACCGCAGCAGCATGTAATAATTTTAAGTGCTCGGAGTAGCAAATTGGCTTCGTTAAGGGATGCTTTGATTGCAAGACTATTGGATATTGTGCCTCAAACGAAATGAGTGCATGACTGAGCCTACCACCAACTCGTAATATTCCCTCCTTTATAAATACATTTAATGAAAAAGAGAACAATTATTTGGTAAACATTTGTTAGCTTTCAAAATTTTAATCTCTGCCTGGAAGGCTTTCAGCTTGTGCTACTCCACATAATCTTAGTTCGAATTCATTTAGCTCAATATTTAAACATTCCATATTTGAAAAATCCTCCATAATACTTATATTTTCTTTTATGTACTGCTTCTTTTAAATTATTGAAAAATCGTAGGCAGTGAGCAGTTACTCTTAAGAGTTTTGTAAATGACGAAAATAGAGAAAATATAAAAATTGGATTATCTTGCTTTTCGTAAAAGGAATAAACTATTTCTCTACTTCCTAACTCTACTTTCTCTTTATATTTACTATAGTTATTAAAAAATGGTTCACTGCTTGGCCAATTTGATGAGCAGTTCAATAGCCAACGTGGTCCATTCAGCCAATAGGAGGTTTTTGCCACAGTGGAAGGTTTTCCCTCTGTTAACATATCTGCTGAATTTTCTGCTGACGGGACGTATTACCAATCCTGCATTTTTTATATTGAATGAATTTCATTAACTCTTTTTGCAAAATATTTGTCTTTATTTTCAATTGGGGTGCGCAACCCACGAGAGTAAAATTTTTGAATCAGACCAACAAATATTTTCTTCGCTTTTATGTTTACAGTTTCCTGAACTATTGCAATTAATTTTGCTAGTAGTACAGCATCACACTGCTCTAATCGTGATATTGTACAGAGGCGCTATTCTAGATTTTGAACACAAAAGACTAGAAGCGTAAATATTTTCTCCATTTCTCGAAGCAGCATAAATGCATGCCCCAAACGCTCTGGGAGAAGCATCGTAGAAGCCATGAAAGTATATACATATATTCTGATAGATTTTTTTTTTCAATACCAATTCCACCATGTAACGCCGTTTGCTGGTTTTTATTTTGATTTCATTTTTATTTTTAATTCTATTTTAGCAGTTGATAATGGTACCGTAAGGTACCGAAACGTCCTGCCTTTGTATTTTGTATTTTAGCCTTGTTTCCGCATTTTCCTGTGTTTTCGATTATTCTGATGGATTTAAGAAAACATAACAAGGTTGTTAGAATAAGTAACGAGCGCGAGCGCACTTTCGTATCTGGCGCCGTTGCAACAGCAGTTGATGACTGTTGTCTGTTCGTTGTTATTGATAATAAATAAAATATGTGATATGATGTGATCCAAAAGCACAAGTTCAATTTCAATTATATTTTTAGCCATAAGTAAATCAGTCCAATATAGGTATATAAATTGGTTCTGCCCTGCATAAATTACGTTGAATTTCATTCCAAGATGACAATAATTCGAGCGGTAAAGGGTCGTCCCGATTAATCTTCAAGAACCAAAGTTGTATGAGTAGCCTTGCGCTTAGGAGCCAATGGAGTCAAAAACCATAAACGATCATAGGTTTCCGATATTGTTGCATAAATTGATCTTTTTGAAATACCATTGCATTCTTCATAGACATTTTTGAAAATAAACACATCTAATTTTAGGTTCCAGTTCATACCAAGTGCTTTTGTAGTTCTTTCGTACGGTAAAATATGATGTGAAAATTTTGATTCATTTTTAAGTTTTAAAAGCATTACAGGGGAATTAGTATTACATTTTCGTAATTCAAAATGATATTCGCTTAAAACAGTGTCAACTTCATTTATTGATTTTGTCCCAATAGCTCAAAACTGTCAAGATAGTTGTCAACGTATTTTTCTTTAATTCTCACCGCAGCTTCCGGAAAAATGTGATCACTGCGAATTGAACATTCATGTACGCTACCTACAGACAGCTTGAAATGCTGCAGAGCTTGTTCCATAAGTGACTGTATCTAGTTCAAAAACCTGGATTCGTTCTGATTAATTGAATCTGTATAGAATTCTTTGAAACCTTGTATGCGTTTCCTCAATCCACACCTGCCTGTACATTTATGCAATTTTGGCTGATCAGCGAATGGATTTTGCCGGAAACGCAACAAAATATCGACAATGTCATTTTGTATCTTTGGACCACTGTGCAACATATAATGCAGGGTGTCCCTAGGGTGCGTCAAAAAAAATGAAAGTCTGAAATGTTCCGCTCCCCAGGCGGCAATCGATGACGTTTGGTAAAAAAACATGTTTGCCAAAATTTGGGCCAATTTCAACCATTTTAAATGGTGCCAAAGGTCAATTTTGTGATGAAATTATGATATTTTGGTTTTGACCTTGATTTCGCACAAAAAACTCGATTTTACGCTGAAATCGTGCGTTTACGAGAAAAATGCCAAAGAACTCGACTTGTAGAGGATGAAATTTTACACTAGGAAGACGTCTTTGTAACCGATAAAAATCAAATTGAACTAGAAAAACTCAACTCGGTATTTATTTTTTTGTTCCTCATAATTTCCGAGGTCTTAGAAAGTAGAGGTGTAAAAGACTCATTTTTCACGAAAATAAGTCGAAAGAGGGTGTAAATGAACTGTAGGTAAGTGTTGAGGATGCAAATGTCATCAGATCTTCCTCAGTTTCAAAAAAAGTTCCAACTATTTTGCACAATCCTCCAAAAAGTGCACAGCTCGAGAAGCAGGATCGTGCTATGATAGTAAGGAGAAAGAGCGGTTTGACCGGGAAAAATTGCGTAACAAACTTTCCCAATGTAATCGTCATCAGTAGGTCCCCCTGAACAACTTCCTAAAAGTTAAAAATGGCCTGACCCCGGAATACCCCTCAAAAAAGTTAAAATTGAAAATGGCGGCCGTAATAAGAGGGTCCGGGAAATCGGTATTTTAAAATGCTCATTCTGTCTCATCATGTGAGGTATCATTTCCTATGTAATTTTGGTCGCAGATTTCAT